AGCGCGCTACTGCTTGAGCCACATCCCCAGCCCTGAGTGATATTTTTTAATGCACAAAACAAAATGCAAAGAAAACCAAGTGTACTGAAATATAGTCATCAAATTCTAAAAACTCTATGATCTATTAACAGATCTATTTATTGATTAAGTCACTAAATAATAAGATCTAGAAATAAGTCCAAGATCTATCATTAAAGTAACAACAAACAATATTTAGAAATACCTGCAACAACTATAATATGATATGAAAATAATGTGATTTCTACTGGTGACAAAGTCATATAAACTGATACCACTAAGGTTTGTTGTCTTTGTTCGTAATTGACGAAAAAAATTGATGAAAAAAACTTACTTTTCAGTCCTAGGTTAGTGTGATTTTTTTTTTCCCTCATCTGAATTCACAAATACCTGAATTCTCTTCAGACTCTCAGGTTAAGAATCCCTACTATACATCATAATGTTACTAACTTTTGTCTTTGTCTTTCTTAAGGATAGAGGGTATCCCTCTTTCATTTCTGACTTTTTAGGGCTCAGAAAATGATCACAATTTTAACAATATAAACATGATCCATTCATTTTTCTTCTATTAAAGCACCACTGCTTACTTAAGTCTGGTTTTCCATTGTTTAATAGCAAAGCCAGCAATCTGTACTTAAAAGTAGATTCCACTATTTAATAACACATCTAATTCTATTCTAGTAAATGGCTGGGTGTAACACCACTTTACCTATTATAGTTTAGTTCTCAACCTATAAAAGAAAATAGTAACTTCTTATGTCTCTCCCAATTCAAAAATTATGACTATTTGTTCACTGACATTTAAAATATTAATGGAAAAATTTCTTGGGAGGCAGCATTTAAGTTTCTGTGCTAGATGAGCTATTTCAAACTTTGCTTTTTATAAATTACATTTAAGAAATGAGTTTGTTTCACTCATTTATTTATTTATTTTATGTGGTGCTGAGGATCAAACCCAGCGCTCTACCGCTGAGCCACAACCCCAGCCCCACATATGAGTTTATTTCAGAAATTTGACTTGCTTTATATGAATCTGAAAGCCCTTAATTCTCATAAACCAAGTAGGTAATTTATGTAACATTTTGAAAAACTATTCACTATTTAAGAATATTTTTGTGAGTTGGAGGTGAATCTCAGTAGTAGAGCTTGAGCTTAGCATGCATGAGGCACTAGTTTTAGTCCCCAGCAAATAGAATTGTTCTTACTGAAATTAAATAGATAGAATGTTAACATTGACATTCTTTTAGCAATAATTCCATTATGGTAATGATCATAACAGTATTGTCTAATTTACATTTTCCATAAAGGAAAACTGGAAGTGCGACTCCACCTATCTAAAATGTATAAATCTTAAGAACTACTTATAAGAGAACCCATAATCAAAAACTGTAGTAATGACTTAGCACAGGATGTGCCAATAATCGTTCTAGGTTACTTACATTCTAGCTGGAGATGGAGATGTGGGAGACAACAGTAAACAGCTCCAAAATTCACTTACCCATCCGTTCAAAACAATTATTTTTGATGTGCAGCGTACTGCGCTAAGCGCGGTGCGGACAGCAGGGAAGAGAACAGAAGTAGACCCACTCGCTTGAAGCGCGACCAATGCTAACGGGGCCGGCACTTCATGACCCATTCACCGTTTAAACTGCGTGTCATCCGCGAAAGGGACCCAGGAGACAATTGAGCGCCGCGCAACTGCAGCCGCAGTAAGCAGCTAGGTTCCCCTAGAGGGAGGCGCCCACTCCACCCTCCCACGGTCCAGCCGCCCAGCCGCACGCACCGCCGCGACCCTGCAGGCGGCCCCGGCGACGGCGGGCAGCCAGGACCCAAGAGCAGGGCTCGCATGCCGCATACCTGAAGTTGGACCAGGCGAAGTTCAGGGCCAGCTGGAAGTTGGGATCTGCCTCGTCTTGGAGGCCAGACACACGCCGGATGAGCTCTCGCACGTCCCGCTCTTGCTGTTTGTCCAACCGGGTCCAGGACGGCACCAGGCGGGCCATATCCCAGGCGTTCCGGCCGCGCCAAGTCTCTACGAAGTAGCAGACGTTCTCGCGAGAGTTTGGCTCGCGCATGGCGCGGCGCCAACGCGAGGTTGATAAATTCTCGCGATAATTCGCGCTCCTTTGGTATTGGTTCCTGGAGCTTTCTTTCTTTCGTTCTAGGCTCGAAGGTTTTTTGTTTGTTTGTTTGTTTCTTTTTTCTTTATGTTGGCGCGTCCTTAAAAGGAGGGCACCCGAATGTGCCTGTTCTAGTCGCCCGTGGTAAATTTTAAGTGTTCCCAAAGAGTCGTTATTGTTAGTAACCAGATTAATAAAGGTCTCTGCCCATCTTGATTGATGGCTTAAATTCTGGTGTATTTTGACAGCAGTCAAGTTAGTTTTACAGTTCGGCGTATGATTCGCACCTTCATACCTTATTGCCATGACCTAGCTAGTTGCTCATCCTTCTCCAGCTTTCAGTTTCTTCTACTATAAATGATCTTTCCGTGTCATCATACACAAGGGCCACGCTCCGTGGTCTACATATAGCAGGTGTTAGCAAAGCGGATTGTCTTGGCATTCGCGCTGAGTGCTGTAGCCTGGCTCCTGCGCTTTCCTATTCTTTGGCTCTAGCTCCAAAGTGGCTGGCCAGAGGCAGATTTCATAATCCTATCTAGCTAAAGGTGGAGAATCATCTTGTGTAATGAAAAATGTACCTCTAAGTTACTTCCCTTAACTGCTGCTTGTAACCAACCATTCCAAAATCTATTCCATATCTTCTTTTTCTTTTTTTCCCTCTTTTGGGAATCTACTAGGTTTTCACATAGCTTATTGCATCTCATTACTGTAGCAGTACACAGCTGATATCACGTAAAACGTAGACTGCACAATTGCACAAATGCCTAAGAAGAAAATTGTAGGGTAGAAATGATTCTACTCATAGGAATTCATACTCTCTCCCTGTGCAGTGTTTTCTGCTCCGGTTTCAACTATCAACCCTATGTTTGTAACTCTCAAATCTGTGTGTGCAACTGTGTATTTCTTGGCAATCCAATCCATAATCTAAATACTGCCTGTATATCTCCCCAGATCGGTGGGTTATATGTATGCATAGATAGTAAATTTATTATTTGTTCTTTCTTTCTTTCTTTCTTTCTTTTTTTGGTACCAGGGATTGAACCCAGGGGCTCTTCCCTCCTGATTCACATCCCCAGCTCTTTTTTTATATTTTATTTAGAGACAAGGTTCTCCCTGAGTTACTTAAGTTGCTGAGTCTCACCTTGAACTTGCAATTGTCCTGCCTCAGCCATCTGAGTGCTAGGATTACAGGCATGTGACACTGCAGTTGGCTTATCTGTTTCTCTTACTAGATTTTTAGACTTCAGCACTAGTCACATTTGGGAATGGATAATCCTTTCTTGTGGAAGGCTGTCTTGTGATCTGTAGGACATTTACCGGCTTCTTTGGCCTCTACTTGATTCTAATATGACTCTTGCCAGCCTCCTGTGTGAAAACAAGATGTCTCCAAACATTGAAAAATGTCCTCTGGGGGCAAAATCACCCCTAATTAAGACCCACTGGCCACAGCATATATTTCAAACTCCTGAGTATTTAGAATTTAGTATTCAGGGATTTTCCTGACCTTGCCTTATCTAATATGCTTCATCTTTTTTCCAAATACTCCTATTCCACAGAACTATTGAAAAGTCATTTTCAAGGGTAAGAAAACTCAATATCATAAAAATGGTAGTTCTCTTCAGATTAATCAGTGTAGTTTCACTCAATCTGCAAAACAAGCTCTAGGTGATCTGGCCTCCTGATAACCCTTGACTTTGAGTCCTACTGTTTTTTCCTTCAGGCACTTGGAGATAATCTGCAGGGAGAAGGAAAAGTCAGCAAAAAGATCAAGGTTGCTAGGACAGCTGTGGCCTTGAGAGGCCTTGCCCTTGAGAGGTCACCTGTCTAAAGTCTGTTACTGAATGCCCAGTGGTTAAGGCAAGGCCAGAGGGAGATCCTCTGCAGATGACTGGGGTGTTGGATCCTTCCAAGGCATGTAGTTCTGTAGGCTTTTTTTTTT